TTCATATTTAAATAATGGCTGTGGGTGGATCTTCTAAATGAAAAAATATCATTTCTATATCATTATTTTATTTTACCTACTGCAGTTAGTAAAACATGAAGAGGAGCTCAGTTGTGTTAGCTTCCTAGGGATTTAACATGATTGAGTCTCATAAAAGGCTACAAAGACTGGCTAAAAAAATGCCTAGAGTGCTGTTGTGAATTTCAACAGAAGAAGCGGATATTAGATATTGACCCCAAATGAACTGTCACATGACCCATTAAGGCCTACTGAACACATATACCTCCAGATAAATCTGCCTTGCATTGATGTGCAATACTTACATAAACATCAGTTAAGAGCCAGAAGTTATCATTAAGTAACCAGCGATAATGCTCATGCGCTAACACTCAGTCATCATTATGCTTTGGAAGAACCAAAGTGTTGGGGACTGATGTAATTTCTTTAAAGACGACGAGTAGGGAAGCTGCTTGCATTGTTTTAGCTAATCGCTCATGAACAGCCAACATCTACAGAAGAACGACTGCTTTCTTAGTTAGGATTTCTTGAAGTACAAGGTTGTTTTAGGGGTATTTTGTCTTTCATTTTTGTACTGGGGACATGGTGTGTGCGTGTGTATGTGTGCATGCATGTGTGTGTGCACACGTGTTTGTGTGTGTGGGTGTGTGTTATTTCCAATGATGGAGTAAAAAGATATGGGAGAGGACTGTAACCATTACCATCTCTATTACAGATTGTATTGCAGGAGCCAGTGTATCAACCTTCCCATCTCTACAGCAAAAAAGTTGCATTTACGGGCCTGTCAAGGTCATTCCAAACCTAAAAGTCTTGGGTTTTTAGTTTTCCTTTTGAATTCTAAGCATCTTGGGGACATGAGATATTGCCTCCGTTGTAGGAATTTGTTTTTATTTCACCATCTTGCTTGCTTCCCTTGCTTCCTCTTCTTAACTCTCCCACTAGACAGGACACCGTGGAAGCTTCATGTGACTTCATGGAGAACTAAAAATTTGGTAAGTAAAGAACAAACTCTAGAATGCTACGTTCTGGACCAAACTTTTAATTTAACGACTTCTATATAAAATTCATACCTCAGCATATTATTCTAAATTAAAGCTCCCCTTTCTGCATTCGCTTAAGATCATTGTTAGTTGATTGTACAATCAATCTTCCTAATCAAAGTACATTACTGGGTGTGTCTTTGCTCTCCTTCCTCCCTTCCTGCATTTTTCTCCCTTCATTAAGACTAGCAGAGCGCAGCAACTACTGTCCCTGTGGAAAGTCTTACAACGAGAAGCTTTCTATGGGCAATGTCTAACCGCGGCTACATCTCCACTCTGTGCTACGTGAATGCTACGACAAAAATCCATCTCAGACATATCGCTCTTGACTTTTTCAAACTATTTTAAAAACAAGTCACAATTTCCCTCCGTTTGGAATCCCAGACTCTGGTGCATCAGCCTTTGGGAGATTAGTGAGGATTTCCACGTTGGAACAATAGGCATATTTCTATTAAATGTCACAGAATCTCATGCCAACTTTGCGATTCTTTGAAAAGAAAACATACTTTAATCATTGTAGGTCATTTGTTTATGATTCCAAATTTAAATGCACTCACAAAATATTTCCAGCTGAACTGATAATGACTGCTGTGTGTAGTTTACATAATAGAATTAGTTCATCTACAGCCACTATATTTTTAAATCAGCCCTAACAATATACGAACAAGGGATATATTTGTTCTAAATTCTCAAGGTTTTCACTTTCTTCCTATTCTCATGTTTCCACTTCTGTTCATCCCTTCTTCTCTAACCCCTCCTCGTGCATCATGGAATTCAGCAGTCTTGCTTATCTGTCTAAGTCCTCCACCACAGAGTCATCAGAATTCTGATGGTAAGATCTGATCTGTGCTCTGTGGTCCATTGTGGAATCTATGCATTCAAGGGCCACAAAATCCAATCCAACCTACTGAAAATGGCCTTGTTTTTCTCTCCCCTTACTCCTCTTCCAGAAAGTTCTGCAGGTCAGCAGCTGAGGGAAGAGGTGTGATGTCAGATAACAACATCACTTTGTGCCACTGTACGACCTTGAGCGTGGGTGCAGGGCACACCTTCAGATCCTCACAGAGATGTGGCATATGTATAATTTTATAAACCAGCATCTCAAGGAATAAACATAAACTAATCAGGCTTAAATGTTAATGTACATAAAATAATTATTAATGAAATTTAGAATTTTTGTCACTATTTATCCTCATAGTCGAATGAAATACATTAGAGATGAAAAAAAAAAGTGAATGGTACAGGTACCCAAAGAAATAAAAGCAAGCATCAGAAAGCAGAAAGAGGGCAGGGAGTCAGGCAACAAGTTCAGCATACCATGTCTTATTGAACGGCATGGGGTAAAACGTGAAAGGAAACCACTGCCTCAGTTATCTCTCCGAAGGAGATGGCTTGGTTATATTATCATTGGTTATTTCTCAGCAATTTCCCTGTGCCAGATCCAAAGGACATCAACTTGAAAATGATGCCATTTTCTGAATGTGATTAAGGCTCGTAAAAGAAAAATAAAGATTCCTTCAAGGGTCCATTAAAATTGCTGAGCCAGAAGCTATGTGCTTTGTAAATATGTTACCTTCTGTCTAGAATTTAAAAAAAAAAAAAAAACAGCGTATTTGTTCGAAAGTTCCATTGCTGGTGGGAATGAAAACTTGTGCAACCACTTTAAAAATCAGTGTGGCGATTTCTCAGGAAATTCGGGATCAACCTACCCCAAGATCCAGTAATACCACTCTTGGGAATATACCCAAAAGATGCCCTATCATATGACAAAAGCATTTGTTCAACTATGTTCATAGCAGCATTATTTGTTCCAGAACCTGGAAACAACCTAGATGCCCTTCAATGGAAGAATGGATGAAGAAAGTGTGGAATATATACATATTAGAGTACTCCTCAGCGGTAAAAAACAATGACTTCGCGAATTTTGCATGCAAATGGATGGAAATAGAAAACACTATCCTGAGTGAGGTATCCCAGACCCAAAAAGATGAACATGGGATGTACTCATTCATAATTGGTTTCTAGCCATAAATAAAGGACATTGAGCTTATAATTTGTGATCCTAGAGAAGCTAAATAAGAAGATGAACCCAAAGAAAAACATATAGTCATCTGCCTGGATATGGGAAGTAGACAAGATTGCCAGGCAAAAACTGGGAACCTGGGGATGAGGTGGCATGGGGCTAAGGGGAAATGGGGTGAGAAACGTGAGAAGGGGAGGATTGGGGGAGCTTGGGGGAATGGGATGGTTAGGATAAAGGAAGGGTGGACATGGGAGCAGAGAAATATATATCCTAATTAAGGGAGCCACCTTAGGGTTGGCAAGAGACTTGACTCTAGAGGGGCTCGCAGGTGTCCAGGGAGATGTCCCCAGATAGTACCTTGGGCAACTGAGGAGAGGGAACCTGAAATGACCCTATCCTATAGCCATACTGATAAATATCTTGCATATCACCTTAGAACCAGCGATGGATCGAGATAGAAACAGAGACCCAAATAGGAGCACCGTACTGAGCTCTTAAGATCCAAATGAGGAGCAGAAGGAGGGAGAACATGAGCAAGGAAGTCAGTACCATGAGGGTGCACCCACCCACTGTGACAGTGGAACTGATCTATTGGGAGCTCACCAAGGCCAGCGGGACTGGGACTGAATAAGCATGGGATGAAACCGTACTTTCTGAACATGGCGGACAATGAAGGCTGATGAGAAGCCAAGGACAATGGCACTAGGTTTTGATCCTAATGCATGAACTGGCTTGGTGGGAGCCTAGCCCGTTTGGATGCTCACCCTCCTGGACCTGGATAGAAGTGGGAGGACCTTGAACTTCCCACAGGGCAGGGAATCTGGACTGCTCTTCATTCTGGAGAGGGAGTGGGAATGGAGTGGGGGGGGAGGGGGAGAGGGGGAGGGGAGTGGGGGAGGGGGCAATGTGTGGGAGGAGGGGGAGGGAAATGGGGAGGAGGCGGAAATTTTTTTCAACAACTAAAAAAATAAAGAAAAATATATACATAAATGCAAATGTAATTTTATGTATATATTTTATTAGAGTGTGTGCATGTGTATGCACGCACATCTTGAGCTAGCATATGTGGCATTTGGAGGACAACTTGTGGGGTCAATTCTCTTTGTCCACCATTTTGGGTTCAAGAATTAAACACACATTGTCCGACTTTGTTAGGCTTGGGAACAAGCACCTTTACCCACTGAGCCATCTTGTCTAGCCAATGGCACCTTTGTACATAAAATAAAATCTAAAGCACCTGGAAAAAAAAAAAGAAAGTTCTTATCCATCGTTGAAAACCATCCATCCTCTCAGGGTATAGAGCAATGCTGGAAAGAGCCATTTAACTACCTAGAGCACACATGGAGGCAAGCTGACAGTCTTCAAAGTATCCCCCCCAACAAAACGAAATCCAAAACCATAATATAGTTTCATCCAACATGGCTTCTAAAATACATGATTTTTTTATTTGGTTGTTGTTGGATAGTTTGATCGCACTCTGACATTCCTGAGACTGTCCACTAAAGATATCTTGAGCTAAGGGGCGGAGCCAGAGACTGGCTTACTGGAATCGGCCATAGAGAAGCCAGGAGTTTGGATAGAGAAGACTCACAGGAAGGAAAGGGCAGGGACTGGAGCTTGAGCTTCCTCTCGGTTCTGGACAAGGGAAGAGATTCTTCTCTTGCCGCGTCTCCAGACAAAAAGCAAGGACAGTTAGTAGCTACTCAATCTCTTTGAGCTAGCAGGATTTTACTGCAGTTTTTGACTTCTGAATTTTATTGATAAATAGAATGATAGAGACTTAATTCAAACCTACATATCATGACTGTGGCAGAGCCTGGATTTTGGGCGAGGCTCTTATATCCACGTACAGAGGACACTAACCAAACAAGAGATGTGATTGAAATGACCAAACGCCTCCAGGAGGAGTCACTACTCACAATGTTCATCAGGGTGAGGAGGTAGTTTTGGACATGCTCTTTGCCATGGAAACGGACCACAGAGTCATCCACTCCCAGAAGCACCTCGATGTTGTAATCGTTCTCTCCCGAGTGTCTGCGGCGCCTCATTGTCTCATTCAGCTGCTGGCCAAGGTTGCTGTAAACTGTGCCTAGATCATCAAGGCCTTCCAGATTCGACTCTATTAAGAGACAAAAGGAACCCAGGCATTTCAGTTTCCCCAATGGGCCTTCCAGTACTTTCTTAGAAATATATCTTTTCAGGGGCCATCACTATAATCCAAATCATTATCGTATTGCTTTCATTTTGTTTGGGAAATAACAGGCACATATATGTATGCTCAGGATGACTCCCAGTGTATTCGACACTCACAGCAATGTACAATAGTACTACCATACTATTGAACCACTGTACCAAACTGAATAGTCACAAGGATAAAAGTGGTTAGTCTTTTCCTTGCTGAGTCCTAGGACAGAGAAAAGGCAATAGGGTACGGCATGGAGGCAAGTTATAGAATTACTCAATAAATTACTCAAATTTAAATAAATGTTCTGTGTCACCATGGTAACCCTGATTAATCTACAATCCTATGATCATGGGGTATATAATTTATACAATATAGAGTTAGAACACTCTAATCGGCAGCCTTAACTTAAAGATCAATTTTTGTCATCTCAACATAGCTACCATTTACGATAACTATTACTGGCCATGGCTAATGTCTTGCTTTACTATGTTGGAGTATAGCTGTCTGGGGAATATGGTTGGAGAAAAAGTGGGCAGACACATGGGTATAGCCAGTTGACACTATAGTTCTCCAAGTTTGGCTGGTCTCTCATCCAATAGCAGGTATTATCTAATGCTGTATACCTGAATTTGTGAGAGAGCAAAGTAAGGGGTCAATCAGAAGATGACCGATAGAGAAATATAGAAGCACAATTTACTTTTATTTGTATCCAAGAAGTATTATAGTTCTTTAAGTGGACCTTTCATACATAGAGATAAACAGAGATATGGGAAGGAATGAGGCAGATACTATTTGCATTTAACAACCTAAAGTCTCCTTATTTGGTGAAGAAATGTTTGGGTGAATTAAAACATGAAATATAAGTTGGATACTAATATCATTCAACTGCTGGCATAAAAAAACCCCCATGAAGGTTTTGTTCATTTCCATTTCGAGTCTATAGAACCCAGAAAGGAATTTATTCTATAAAGTGCCTTGATGTCTAGAACCAGCTTGACAGAAGCAGGTCTGACTCACAGTTTATATAGAGGTTTATTGAGTACTGTGTGGAGGCCTACGAACCATCTGAATCAGAGTCTTGACATGAATGAATAGGCATTTTCCTCCCCACCTTTGTGGTTTTAGTGAAGTCGCAGGAAAGGATGTCTCTCGGCCAAGAAGGCTGATGACCAAGCTTTAATCACATGGGATTAGAGGCATGGAAGTACATACCCTGCTCACACCTCTTCAGCCTCTCACAAATATAGAGAAACACCCAGCCCTGCCCAGCACGTACTGGCATCAGCTATGCTGATGACTACTTGGTTTAAAAGCTATACTGTACTTCACTTTGACCCAAGCTCAGTTCCTAATTCATTAGCTGGGGATTTTCTCCTCACCGAGAACTCTCTCTGGCTCCGTGGTGTAAAAATAACTCTCACCACCGTCCACATCACACAGAAAGCTTCCTTCAAAAGCTGCTTTTCAAGATCCGGGAACCTATACTGAGGCTGGAAACTACGCTCACACACAGCTTTGCCATGCGACCTCATGTCTCTCGGCACACTTGAGAATGTGAGAGGTGATGGCGAGTGTACGCACAGGACTGCTGATGGATTAGCTCTCCGTTCTAACAATGACTTGTTTGGCAGGCTTCTCAGAGGCAACATTCAATAGAAATATGCTAGCAGCATCGTTATATTATCAAACCTGATGAATGGATGAAGAAAGGTGAGGGTTTATTGCAGAGACAGTTCATTTCACCCTGACACTTCCTGTCTGCCTTTTGCATTTCTCCTTGAATAAATGGAAAGAGTGGAGACATTTGGAACCTTTAAATCCCAAGGCACTTTTGTCTGTCTTTTACGCTGTGCTGTACAATCTTATTTTCCTTGATTCTGAATGTGGACAGTGTCAAACATTAGGACAACTTCCAGCAGTTTTACTTACACACATCATGATTCTGGTCATCTCATTCACAATTAATTTGCCTTAGTAATGTAACATCCAAATTATTTCTAGAATACTTTTTTTTCTTTCTCTCCCAAGACAGGGTCTCACTGTCTGACTGTATTCTCCAGGCTGGACTTGAACTTGCAATATGCCTCTGATTCCAGGGATACTAAAATTAAGGTGTGGACCAGCACAACCAACTAACAGGAAGTTTATAATCAGACAACTTTATGTTCAGATCTTGATAATGACTCATCCAACTGTAGTTTTATATAAGATGACAAACCTCTGACCCTCAGCCACTTGATTCATGAAATGGAATAATCCTTATACTTAGGGCTGGGGAGATGGCTTGGCTTATTGAACAAGCATGAGGACCTGAATCAACCCTCAGCATCCATGTGTAAAGACTGAGAACAGCTTCCTCCGAGCCTCTGACCTCAGTGCTCTGGGATGTGTGAAAGGGGATAGGAGGCATACTGAGGCCTACTGAAGAGCTTCCTCTTCAGAGAGACCCTGTCATGAGAGAATATGGTGGATCGGTACAGAGAAGGAAACTGGACTTCCAGCCTAGCTCTAGGTTCACTTAGAGGTTCTGCCTCAAGAAAAGAAAGCTAATCGATATAACAGGACACCTGGCATTCTTTTTCAGCCTCTGCATGTATACAAACTACCCCCTGTCCCAAGACACAGACCATTTACGTCTACTTCCTCATAGTTCCCCAAATATATTCTTTCTCATAAACGGCTTCTAGATGCAAATCTCTAACTTTGTGTACTCAACATAAGAGTTCCTGTAGGGGCCAGAAATCTAGAAAGAGGCCGCTATAAAGGGGATGCCATGGGTGTGAGGGTATAATAAAGTACAAGTAATATAAATATAGACTTGGGGATAACTGAGGTGTAAAGATACAAGCAAGAAGGGGTGGTAGAATATGGGACACAAGAATGTGAGGAGGAGGGTTAATCAAAATGAAGGGATTATAGAAGATCCATATGGAAATCTACTATCTTATAAACAACCAACAAAGTATAATTTATGGAAGAAATTAGAAAGGAGATACCTTTAGACAAAGCTCCTCCTAGAAGCTGATTCTCCTACCTTGGACATCCTGCTACTGGTGATGTATAAATTCTCTTCAGGTTAGTTTCCTTCCTTTCAAATAGCTTCACCAGCTCTAGCATCAGAGTCAGGTCCAATAAATTGGACCTCCCTATGCCTCTTACAGTCTGGACCTCCCTATGCATCTTACAGACTGGACCTCTCTATGCATCCTACAGACTGGACCTCTCTATGCATCCTACAGACTGGACCTCTCTATGCATCCTACAGACTGGACCTCTCTATGCATCTTACAGACTGGACCTCCCTATGCATCTTACAGACTGGACCTCCTTATTATGCATCCTACAGACTGGACCTCTCTATCTATTCTACAGACTGGACCTCCCTATCTATACTACAGACTGGACCTCCCTATGTGCATTTCTTAGGAGTAGTTGAGAAAGCTTATCGCAAGCTTTTGGCACATTTAACGATTTCAATGGCCAGAATCCAACCACACAAAATTACAACCATCCCTAGCTGACAAGAATAGATGCTTCAGTCTGTTTCAGGCAGAGAAAAAAAATCCAGCCTTGTGCCTAAGGCCAGGCTCATCCACAGCATATGCTTAGATAGGGAGGTGCCATTCCAAGGATGAAGACCCAGTAATGGACGGCTAACAGGAAACCCACTTTGCCAGATTTTCTTTTCAGAGTCTGCTCCTCCTTCATTTTCTACTGGGTCTCTTATTTGCAGTCTGCATTTGTACATTTTATGTGGAATTTCATGCTGTGGTAATTTTGCATTTTTCTCACCTTCTCAGTGTCTATAGAGAGGCACAGTCCTTCACTTGTGTGGTACTAGTAGATTCTTATCACTGTTTCTTGCCCAGCCAGGTTGCTCTCATTTCTATTTACTTTCAATTTTATGCATTAAAGAATGCACCATCATCACATCCATCCCTAACTCCCTCTCTTGAGCTCCTCAACATTACCCAACATAGGTTCCATCTTCCTCTAGAATTTTGTGTTCATTTTTAATAACTGAAATCTCTGTGATTGGGCAAGGCTGTCAAAAAAAAAATACAACATTCCCGTAAAGTTAAATATAAGATAAATAAAAGTTTTATTTTTGCTCTGGTATTATAGGGGAAATAGTTAATACAAAAAATATATTCAACATGAAATAAAAATAATATATTGTTATTTGCTAATCCAGCAACTCTAGGTGTGGGGAACCTTCCCCTAAGCAATGCATGTGGTCACAGGCTCAGTCACAGGGGCTGGCTCACACTCTCGCACTCTTCCTTACTTGACCCCTGCAGGTCTGCTCAGTTTAATGAAATGATAAACTACTGCTCCCTCATCTCATTTTCTTCTTTGACTTTTGCTTAAAACAGTTTGACGTGAGTTCCTAACACTTGAAACCAACAGAACCTCTATGAAGCCCTTAATTAACCTGCCATATACAATCACCAACATTATTCTTTTCCAATATTATTTATAAAACTATTATTAGCTACACAGTCCTTTGCAAGGACTCTGTATTCTCTTTTACCTTATGAATTGATCATTTTAGTTCAATTTTACTTTAAAGATTTCATTATCAGTAACCATTCCTTTTCTTAATATATATCAATATATTTAGTTACTAAAATCTGGAGGTTATTTTTCAAGGGCAATACAGTCTATAATCTTTATATTTTAATAGGTCATACATTTAACAGCACTCTAAAATTCTCTTCGTCTTCACTAAATTCCTTTCTTTCATATTTATGGCCTCTGTAGTTGAGTTCCATTAAATCAAGGCGTGATGACAGATGGGGAAAGAGGTGATCGCACCCAATTTACTTTTATAGTCTGATCATCCTACACTGCTAGGAAGGTTTGGAAAAAGCCCCACTGAATAGAGGGATGTGGTTGCATTTCACGGTTGTCAATTTCAAAGCTTATATTAT